AGTTCAATCTCTCCGGGTCGACCTTGCTCTATTATCAAACATGTGTACAAGCTTCCTCGAGACTCATTGTTTACCTTTGCATCGTGGTGTTTTGATTACTACATTTTTTTTTTCCTCTCTCACATAACCTTTGTTCTGTTTTATACTTTAACATTTTCTACGTATTTAACACAATTATCATGGTTTCAGACTCCGTCTGGAACCTCACACTATGTAGTTTGAAAAATTCAAATTAAATCATACAAATAATTAAATAAGTTTACTGTATAATTTACTGCACAACATTAAACTGATAATTTAAAACATTTTTACGTTAATTTAAAAAAATGCTTTAAGCTCCATTATCATAAGATAGCATATATAATTGTAAACTTCATGTAATATGTTTTTTAATGGAAATAAAAAGGAAGATCTAGCAATCACAACACTATACTCAGCAGAGACTTAAATAACACACAATCCTCACCAAGCACATTAATCTGCTGAGATTATTTATGAAAAGAAGATGTAGCATTGGTGACAATGTCACAGCAGGCTTTCAACAAGGCTATTTTTATGTTTAGATATAAACCAATTTGGCTGTAGGTAGGTGGTTAGGCTGCCATCTAATGATAAATTTAATAATTACAAGTAAATCTAAATTTAAAATAAAACTTTTTAAAATAAAATTTTCTGAGAGAAAAAAATTGCCCAGAATGGTACTCAAACCTGTAACTCCTACTTGCTGTGCAGATACATTGCCAGTTACTTGGACCCCTGTTCAATCTTTGCTTCTAGAGCTGTTAATTTAATTAGTTAAGTAATTAATAGTGAGTGCTAAATCCATCCTCAGTTGGTGATGTGAGTGATCAGTATTGTTATATCTAAATTAGTTAAGTAATAGCTCTGAAAGTGAGATTGGATTGGGGTATAGTTAGCATAACTAGCAACATATCTGCATGGTAAGCAGGAGTTGCACATTTGCATCCCACTTTGGGCTGATCTTATCTTTCAGAATATTCTAAATTCAAAATAAAAAATTAAGTTTATTTCAAATCATTAAGTTTTTTATTAGATGGCAGCCTAACCATCTAAGTATAGCCAAATTGCTTTATAGCTAATCATTTAATTACAACCTGATGAATAATCCAACATCTTGTTTGATATTAGTATATAATTTGATTTAAAAGTAGAGTTATGAAGGCATCTTGTACTAACATTAATAATTTATGTTAATTTTAGAATTATATTTATTGTATTTTATTGCATATAACCCTGTGATGGTGTATATATTCCACAGAAAATTGTTAGAACAAAAATAAAGTCTTTATATATGCTGTCTCATCATATTCCCTACGCTTGTGGGAGTACACATTGTTCCTTAGGTGCAATTTTGTAACTGCAATTTAAAATCAATGTATAACCCAGTGGCAGAGCAAGTCAAGTGGGGACCCCAAGCAGTAAAACTTTCGGAACCCTCAAACTCAAGTTAGAAAAAAATAGTTTTAAGAAAACGTGCATTAGTTATTAACAAAAAAGAAAAGTAATCAAAAATTTTATACCATAACACATTAAATGCATTTATTAAAAAATATATATATTTTACATGAATTTCCATTTTGTTTATTTCTTACAAATTCGTCAATTATTTTGGCAGTATCAATTCAATTTAAAATTTTTTACTCTATATACAGAATGGCCATATTATTTAATTTTTCTTCTCCCATAATATACCTTAAATAATTTTTTACATGCTTTAAAACAGAAAGTGATCTTTCTCCTGATGCATTAGATAAGGGAATTGTTTAAAAAAAATTTCAATAATATTTATTATACAGAAATGTTCAAGACATTTCTTTGGTGGCTTGATAGATGTCTGGTGTGGTTTTAATGGTGTACTCCTTTTCTTTTATAAATATTAAAAAATGGTCAAATTTATCTTCAAAAGTACAGTACAAACATCAGTGTCATTTTTGTAAATATCCTTCTTCAACTTTTTTATTGCATTCTTTTTTCTTCTATTGATAAATTCCAATTAAAAAAAAATATTTGAAAAGGCTCTACAACAACTTCCTACATCTTTTCCTTGAGATAGTTCTGCCTTGGTTTTATCACATATGACCTAAAATTAATTGACTATGAAATTTTCTCTTATTGTAAATTTATGTCCCAACTTCTTTGTTTTCATCATCAACAAACATTTTTCTCTTTTGTTATCTGCAAGTTTGCCCATCTTCTACATTAAATGATAGTCCTGATAAATCAGTTGCCTTTTTTCAACTTTTTCAAATTTTCCTTTGAAATGATTGATAAAATTATCTAATGACTTCAGTAGGATAGATCCTTTCAATAGTTTGAACTCCACTGATTGCAGCAATTGACTAGTAGTATTTATTCTTTGTAAAAAAAAAGTATTCCAAATCACTGTCATTAGGGTGGTTTTTCATATTTGTTCATTTTCTTTAGAAGTGAAGTTGTCTCCATTATGGTAACTGTTTTCTTCATCTGAATTACAAATTTTAGTTAAAGCCTCTTTTATATGGATGAAACCAAGTTTTATAGCTAATACAGCATCTGCTCTTACTGACTGTCTTGTATTAGAAACTCTTTTCATTGAGACAGAATTTCTGGTTAAAATTTTCCAATGATGATTTGACACAGAAAAAAATGTGAATAAATCTATCCATATCCATTAGGTGTGTTTATGTATATTATTACATTGACTATAATATTATTTGATATATACAAAAATTACATTTAAAACATGATTTGATATATGATAAAAATATATATTTGAACATAGAAAAAAATATTACATATATATAAAGTAAACATTATTCTAATATATAGTAAACTAAATAAAATGATGACCGAACAATTGAATAGAGAACAAAGAAACAAAAGTTACCTGCAAACAATTAACATTGTTGCTATGTGATTGCAAAAAGCAAAAGTGAATTTCAAAAATTCAAAAGAGTGACTTACGAGGGTAACGACCTTGGGCTCCGAAGGACCCCATTTGTATTCCGGGCCCCTGTGCAGCTGTTTAGTCCACTTATCGCTTAATCTGCTGCTGGTATAAACTGCACCATTACATGACCCACAACCCCTTTTATACTGTCTTTTAACCCTATGTGCACTAGATAGCCAGATTTACCATTCCATTTGGTATGAGAATGCCAGGTTTGCTGAGAACCAGTTTTTTTTTTTCCCCTTCTTCTTCTTCCAAAAATCAACTCAAATCATCTGTTCACTATATTTCACTAGCAACAAAATAATTAATTTTATTATAGATAAATTTGGCTTATACATGATAGAAAGTAAGTTATGGATTAGTTTATTTTACTTAAATATTGCTTGTTTGTTTTACTTAAATATTGTTACATTCCAAAATACCTGCAAAGCATTATAAGGTTAGTGCAGTGTGTTTATAATTAATGCTTCGTTTATTGAATGGTTTTTATTATTTATTACTTAAACTGATTTTTTGAAAAAATATTTTATATTTTTATTTATTGTGCTTGATGATTTGGTATAATTTTTGCTATATCATTTTATTTTTAAAGTGTTTTTTAGAAGTTTTGATGTTTGTCTTTGCTCAATAATTCAGTGTTCATTTTTTGTGACAAAACTCCCCACCAATGTATTTGTCTTCAAAATAGAATTTTGTTTTATCAAATTATTCTTTTCTGCAACTTTTTTCAATACTGATTAATATATAGGTAATTAAACAATGATGATGATAAAGTATGTATTATATCAGATTAATTGTAAATTGTAAGCAAGTATTGTGCAGATACACAGAAAACAAATTAGTGCATTCTCACTAATCCAAACTAATTATTGTACAGATTACTAAAACAGTTTAGATTAGTACAAAATAATGTACAAACTGCATTTTAAATTTATTATATAAATAAAACAAGATGTACTTTCTTCTGGGCCAAATCTAAATATGTGAATTTGAAACTAAATATAACTTATAAAAGAAGTATAATATGGAGATAAGATTGAATTGTATCTCTCTTATTTGCATATATGAATGTATTATATATACAGTAATATTTAATTATATGATCGAACAAGAATTAAGAATTTAAAAAAAAACCTAAAAATAAATGTAAGCAGAAGAGAATAATACAAAATATATTAGAATATTTTTAGTTTCTTTACTTGAAAAGTGTAATGAACTGAATCTGGCTGGCAAAGGCTGGTGTCATTTTTATTCAGTGTGTTCATTGCATTCCATTGCCTGGTGCTACAAGGGTTGCTTTGCATGAGATTGTAAACATGTTTGAAGAATTTGGAATAGAAAGGGTTAAACACCAATAATAACCTCCAGGTTATATGCACAAAAATACAGTGTAATAATTCAGAATATTCTGGAAGAAAGGGTGTCTAAATTATATTTTACTATAGTGTATACAGGTGTATCTGCTTGTTGTAATCACTTTGGAACTTGCTTATTTTGATGACCTTAGACCAGGGGTCGGCAACCTTTTGAGTCGGAAGAGCCAAAATTACAATTTACAAAATTTCAAAGTTTTTAAAGAGCCACAAAATTTTTTCTTGCCAACAATAAATAGTACTTGCATAAATAAAGTTTTTTGATAAAAAAAACTAATCTATTTATTCATAAGAAAAAATATCTNTAAAAATGTACAAAATATAAATAATTTTCATGCATATTTTACATAGAGTACTAGTTCTAATTTAATTTAAATCTAATCGTAATTGGTCACATAATCATGTAGTAAAAATCAAATGACAAATTTATTGAAATGACCTCAAAATAAGAAAAATGATACAGAAAATAAACAATGCATTTTTATGTATTTTGTGTCAAAAAAAAGGTGCATTCCAGGCATATGTTAGTCTAAATGAAACTTGTGTTTTCTCACTGAAAATCTAGACTTTTAGACACTACCTTGGATGATTTACTTGCTTGAATTTGAACTTGAAAATTTTGAGCTATCTTTGTAAACTTTATTAGTTATAATTAATGGTAAATTAATCAATAGGTTCTTTTTAAAATGTGTCAATGCATCAGGAAAGCAAAACATATTCTTACCACTGTTTTAAAATCCAAAATGGACTTTGGCCAGGAACATGTTTGTAAAATAATTTGTTCAACCGCAGAGGTAAGTAAATAATTTATACTAATATAATAATACAGTAATTTTAAAAGTAATGCCAATACAGTAATTAATCCTTGAAATTTTACATTTGAACAAAGTTGAATTAAATTTTAATGTTTCAAAAGTAAAGAAAGGTGTTTTTATTTTGTTCATGCTATTCCATATAATTAATTCTGTTTATAGTCTTCTGTCATTGCTTTCATGACTATTAAAATTTAATATATCATTGTAATTTTAGCCAGCTCAGAGGCCAAAATGATTAGGGTTGCCGAATACGGGTGGAATATGTTTTGGAGTTTTGAACATGAAAACATGGGTTAAATTCTACCTCTATTGATTTCTTTACTTTTGAAGATGTCGGCATCCCTTCCTCCGAGTTTTCAAAAATCTCAGAGGATAAATTAGTAAAAATAAATTACCAATTATTTTTTAATTGGGTTATTTACGGGAGGGCAAATTCTATGGCTGTTTAGAGCTGAGCTGTATTGTTTAATAAACATAAATTTAAACTTAAAGTATGTGATTATTTATTCAATTCGTTACATTAGAACTTTCTTATGACATTTTGTCATTAACAGAACAGGTTATTGTTTGTTTTCTCCATGTTCTGTGATGGTAAATATTTCTCTTTGCAGAAATTTCGTATTCACATGAATGGCAGGGGCCACAAAATGAAAATGGAAACCCTGCTGGTGCTTCAGCGGGAGAGGGCACAAGCATTGGAGGCCAGAATGAAAGCCTCGCATCATATGCGGATGATAGACATAAGGGACAGGTATTAAATGCTGATTACTGAAATCATGGTGTGATTTTTTATGAAATCTGTGGTTTGTGTTTTACCTACCACTCCTTTTTATAACATTACAATTTGACTTCTTGAGCTCTATATTTGCTCATATTCAGTGTGCTTTATTTTTAAATTTATAAAAAGTTTGTTTGGCACACCTATTAATGTATTTAAATTGATGCCTGTGATTGATAACCCCTGCTTTTATTTAATATTTTATTTTTCATCTTTTAAACAGATTATTTCAAATGCCTGCTCATTTGCAGGAATGAACAGAAATCAGTAAATTTTATGAAGATTTATGTTTGTAATTTTAGTGAAGCTCAATTGTAAGAGCAGAAGAAAAGAAGGGGAACAGAGATAATTACAGTTCATAAATATCAGGCATATTTTGAATGTCTTTAATCTTATTGTAGATTTTATGAAATGTAAATTGTCTATTGCTTCTCCCATGTTATATCTGAAGCATTTTTTTTCTGTTATCCTGTCCGATTTGATAGAATTCTTTTCCGAATTAAAACCTACTTACTCTTACGAAGAGAGAGAAGGAAATTTTAATCACAATTTTGTGATTGATTGATTTTTATTTTTGGACTTTTGTTGTTGTTAAATAACATAAAAATTATTTACAATTCAAAATTTATTATATATAATTTTTTTTTAAATAAAAGTACAAAATAATTTTATTTTTGTCATTAATAAATTAAATTTATTAACAAAAAGGTTTTTTTTATTTAAATATGATTAAAATATTTGAATTTTATTTTTTGGAATGATATTTGGAAGGTTGCTAAAATATTATTTATTTTTTTGAAATAACAACACATTTGTTCAATAAAAAATTAAAAGGAAATATATAAAACAAGAATTGGTTTGAAATTATTTAAATTAATGAGTGAAGTTTTTGATAATGCTAATGCTTTTATTTAATATTGAAAGTACAGTGAAAATTTTAATATAATGAATTTCCTTGATCCATAGAAATTCATTAAATAAAAAACATTTTCAAGGAAAAGGTTACGTAAACTTTAATAAATTTTTAAAATACTTTTCACTGTATTTGCATATTATTATAAAATATTTTCAGTTTCATGTAATCACAACTGTTAAGACTAAACAGCAGTCATAAAAATCATTCTTGAAATAATATATATTAATACTCTCACATCATAGTTTTTGTTTCTATCAAAATAAATAAACATTCAAGTTATGTGATATGAAAATAATTTTTACTGCAATGAACAGAGAAATATTTGGTTTAATGGAGTTCAAAAAAAAGTAGAACATGTGAACACAAGTTCTAGTTCTTGTTAACTTACATTCATCATCAGGAATTAAAGGGTCTTCAGGTACAGTTACTGCATTTAAAGTATTACAACTATGTTGTTATTCGAATGAGAAAATAGAGAAATAATTCATTATTATGAAACTCAAAAATATAAATTTTAGAATATATATGTGAAATATAATTAGGTTAGCATTGAATTGAGTAAAGAAATAGTAAAAAGATAAATTTAAAAGTATTTTTCATGGAGCATCAAAAATAAATAAATTGTTATTAGCATTCAGAATGTAAATCTAATTCAATGGTTCCCAAAGTGGATGCTACTGCCCCTTAGGGATGGTGAGTAAACCTAGAGGGGCAAAAAGAAACAAGATGGTAGCAGGAAGCGCTGGAGTCAAGGTCTTGACCAAACAGTGACCACAGGTAAGGGTGGGGTCACTGACAACACAACCTTTCTCTTTCCTCTGTTAAAATGGGTAAGAAGAAGCATTGCATTTAATGGTTTCCAGGTGTGGAGAACAATGTACGGTAAGGACACAAAGTGTGAGGTTCCTAGAAAAGTTTTTCTAAGGGTATTTCCAAGTCTTTCTCACACAAGAGAAAATGGGTTAGGAGGCATTGGGTATAAGTTTATGGAACCAAGGGAGCAGTGGCTCTAAAAAATTTGGGAATTATTGATCTAAGTGCTAGAACTAGAACTTCTTAGTTTCTGTTTTGTTTTTTAAACTCCATTAAAATAAAAAATTTTTGTTTTTGATAATGGTTTCATATTGTTAAATTATAAGTATCTATTAAATTTAAGTAATTGTGTGTTGATACAGATGTCTAAATATGCTGAAATTTGAAGTCTTTATTAAATAAAGTTATTATTTGAATATATTTATAAATAAATGTGTTTTAATTATAAAAATATTGAAAATTTATAAAAGGAATATGATGAATATTGAACTTTAATGATTGTATAATAGGTAATATTTTATTTAAAACAGATTATAAATGAATACTATTAAATATTTATGGTATACATAATTTAATTTATTCATAATGCTTTTTATAAATATAAAATATTTCATTCTTCATATAGTTTTACAGTTAAAGAAAATATAATATAAAATTTCATAGTGTTTAATTGCTCTCAGGTATGAAAATTATAAACATATTTAGATTTTAGTTTTCAATAGAGTTTAGATGCTAAATATAAATTTAAAAGGTATTTATCATCATTATTGTAATTAAAGAAAGCATATATATAAATATAAAGGTATGTTAGTAGCACAAAATAATTTGTTTTAATTTTGATATTTATTTTCTTTTTATATAAACAAGTGTATGTAATTAGATTATAACTTTAGAAACTTATTTATATATAAAAATTGGAACATTGTTTTAGAAAGATATAAGGTAGCAATATAATTATTTATATTAGTGTCCTTTCTATTATTTTTTCTGGATCCAGCACTGAAGAGAGATAAGTAAAAATGAAATGAGAAATATTTCTAATATCTATATTTGGTCAAGATTGAATCTCTATTTACCTGATGATTGATTTATCTCAATTGTCTGGATGTGTAGTGAATGTTTTAATGATATTCTCATAATTCTAATGTTTGAAAAGTCTTGAATTACAGCCTGCATAATCAGAAAATGGCCATCTATTATTGGAAATTTTTTATTGAAAACAGAAATGCTTCTGTATTATCTCTTCTTTGTTGTTCCAATAATTTTTAAAATAAGTTTTTCAACTTAATTTTTAATTTAAACTGATGAAATTTTTGAGAGTGCACTAATGAATGCTGTGGAGGAAGAGGAGGGTATTTTGAACATTTGGTTAACTTTTAAAAAATTTATACTCTTTTATAAGTAAGATATCTTAATTTCAATAATTGTATAATTACTTTCCGGGATATTTGAAATAATTGCTAAAATGTTGCATATAACTGAAGAATGGTTCATTCTTAGAATGGATGTCCAAGGAACTGCCTGGTGGGGATCTTAATGAAACAAATATTTTATTAGTACAGGATAGTATAAGTATAGTCAGCATAATTTTAGCTGTCACCTTCTTAAGAATGATGGTGTGGAGGAATAAAAAAATGAATAAGGCAAAGATTCTTTCTACAGTAGATGCATTGAATAAAAATATATATTCATAATTTGAAGTTTAGACTATTTACAAAAAGTCATAATTAACTTTTGAGTCCATCATGATCCTATTAAAGGATAATGATGGACTCAAAAGTTAATTATGACTTTTTGTAAATAGTCTAAACTTCAAATTATGAAGAAATAAATCCTGAGTTATTACAAGAATTGTAAAATTATATATATATGTAAATACTTGTTGCCTTATTGCAGTGTTTTTCAACCTTCTTGAATATGCGACCCCTTTACAAGTTAAAAAATTCTGGCGACCCCCTAGGGCCATATTAAAACTATATCAGTGATTTTAAAAACTATGTATTTAATTTTCTCTCTGTTGAGACAAATTATTGTTGATTAAAGTGAAAATTTCAGAAGAATCGACAATAACTTAACACACATAAAGTATGAAACTTTTTTTAATTATAACATTGGGCACATACATACTCANTTTTTTTTTTTTTTTTTTTTTTTTTTTTTTTTTTTTTTTTTTTTTTTTTTTTTTTTTTTTTTTTTTTTTTGTTTAGGATCAGAATTTTCAGCTTCTACGTTTCTACTTTTTATTTCTGTTTGCAGATCAGCTTAACACTTTTTCCGCCATCATTTTCTGGGGTGGGCCATAATTCTTGCTGAAATTGTAGTTTTTTTTATGTAGTATAGGACCTACAAACACTTGTCTTTTTCTTTTACCTGCGACCCCCCCGTGTAAGGCTTCGCGACCCACTTGGGGGTCGCGACCCACAGGTTGAAAAACACTGCCTTATTGCATACAATTATATGGAATAAGGCAACTTGGATGGAGATTCATTGAGGAATAAATGATATGCAATATGTAACATGAATTTTTTGTAGTACATTCTTGAGTCGAGCAATTCTCATCTGAAACGTCAAAGAGAATGTTGTCACTGAGATAAAATATGTTGCATTCGACTGGATAGCCTGAGCTTTTCCAGGAAAAGCATATCATGTTGACAAAGATGGAAGCTTATAATTGATTCCAAATCAATGCATGAAGGGTCACAATCATTTTTTGATCATGGAAAACTTCAGGTAAATTGTCCAGAATGACTCATTCAGAGAAGTGCTTTTAAAAATCTTTCCACTGATGGAAGAAATGGACATCAAGAGGTTGAAGAAACAATGTTGATACTTCAGATAGAATTTGTCTCTATTCCTTTTTCATTGATCAAAAACAAATCATGTGTGTTATGATAAGAAAATGAATCAATAAGATATGCTTTGTCCCTGACTGACTTGCTTCAAATATTGGTCAATCCATTGCTTCAGAATATTTTAATCTACATTTCCTGATCTACTGCAGGTAAGAAAAAGACCAGGAATTCTTGAATGCATGGGATGAAAAATCTGTGAGGCTCTGTAGAACAGTCATCAGATAAGGCAGTAACTCTCCAGCTTTTTCTGCTTGAATTCTTGCACCCAGTAATTGGAAGCTATAAATTCTTTAAGTTGAATTTTCTGGCTTCTTTCAAAGTTCATTGCTTAATATATCTATCATGAATTGTAATCAAATTTGCTCTGGCAGTTGTAAGCATTGTCTAGCATT